TATTTCCGCCGCCTGCCCGCTTTGGCTCTTCCCGCCCGGCCTGCGTTGTGCGCCTGCGCAGCCGCCGCAAACCCGCGTTGCTCAGCGATGGAGTGTGGGGTTCGGCCTCCTTCGGCTGGACTCGGGTATTTCCGTTCATGGAGATGACGCTTCGGCGGCCCTGCGGGTCATTTCCGGCGACTCTCGCGGGGCCGGGCAGGAAGCGGGGTAGCCGCCATCTTTTAGTGGGGCAGACATGGGCCACTTTGCTCGCGGTCACTTCATCCTGTGTTGTGTATGTGCAGAGCGCGGTGGGGGTGGTCGTCTCCGCTGCTGCCGCCACCCACACGGCCTGCCTTTGACCCCATAGGTCACAGACAAGGCAGGGTGATCGCGGCAAGACCCTGAGTGAGACTAGAGGCGTTACCCAGAGGGTGCGAGGTCGAGCACCCTCACTGTCCTATCGCAAACCCAAAGATCCCCGTTCTTGGAGATTCTGATTGAGGTAAACTAACAAAACATGTATTGTGCCAGAGAGTGGTAAGCACTGTGGAGGGTTACAGTGGTGTAGGGGAAGACCTGTCGGGGTGGACACTTGGGGAACGTGACGTGCGGGCGGAGCGTGGGCGCTATTGGCATGGGCCCCGAGTGCCAGCGGAGACGCACTGGAGTCTCTGCGCTTCCCCTGCTAGCTGGAAAAAGGGATGGAGGCGGGGTCAACTTCCCATCCAATCTCAGCTCAGCGTGCCTCGGAGGGCGGGAGGAAACAGAACTCTGCGGGTCTGCGACTTCCGGCCGTCACCACGGAAACTACCGGCCCCGTGAGCGCGTGGTGTGGTGGCCTTTCCCTGCGGAGGCCCCCAGGCGCCACTCCTCTGATTCTGCAGATCCTCCCCCAGGAGTGGCCTCTGGCCAAGGCTGGCTTGTCTGCTTCCCCCGAGGCCAGGCCCTTAGTCTTGGGGGTTAGGGTGACTTGAAGCAGCAGGGGGAAGTCCGGCTGCACCCCGAAAGAAGCTTGGACACACAAACTTCAAGTCTCTGTTACTGGAAATGCCCAGGCCAAGACTAGCCTGACACGTGCCCAGAGCGAGACCTTCAGTGGGGTTTAAAGCTCAAGCTGTACCCTGCTGCACACAGGTCACTTCTTTGAAACTGCCTTTCACCCTGTGTTACCTGCACCCAAGTCATCCATTGGAGGGGTGGGGGAAAGGGGCTGTGTGAAGGACCTGGACAATGGGATGGAAAGGGAAGATGGCTAGGGCAAAATAGTCAATGGCACTGGGTCCTGGAGATGCTGCCCTGAAGCCTGCAGTATGCTGAACTTGCGCTCTCAGCGTCTGTCCACTTTCACCTAAGCTGCGTTTCCACTGCTTTGCTGCTGGATCTACTCCTGACTGAATCCTTCCAATGTGCCTGGGGCCAGGGTGGGAGAAGTCTTCAGCTCTAGTGATGGGAATGATCACCACAGGGCAGGAAAACTGGCCCAGGGCCTGCAGTCTTTGCTTCTCAGACTGGTTGGGGATCCATCTGCAGGGTCCTACACCCTCATCACCTGCTGCTTGTAAACATGAGAACAGGAAAGTCCCGAAAAATCTGAATTTCCAGGTAAAATCCTCCAGTTTTAAAACCAGGAAATGGTTTCCTAGGTGTAAAGGAGTTTTACAAAGACATCCTGAGGCAGAATCTGGATCACCAGGTGTCAGTTTGCTCCTGCTGGATCGCATGATCTTGGTTGGCTAGGGAGAATCTGGCCTGTCTGGGTCCTCTCCTGGGGTTGGCTTGGCCCATGGCCCAGGGGACAGCCATGACAGGGTGTGGAGGGGAGCATGCAGGTTTCAGGCATCAAGTTTAGGCACAGTACCACCCACAAACCTGGGCGTTGGCAGATCCAAGTTGGATCCTTGGCTCCCAGCTGTACGAAGTGCTGTGATCCCACTGGTTCCCTTTGTTCCTCTTGTACTAAGGGTGAGATGCTGAATCTCCCCGTGAGTACAGCTCTTCAGCAGGTACTCCCACTGATAGGTGGATATAGGTAGAAAGCCTTGGCTGCTCATGACCACTTCAGGGAGTAGGGTGCTGTTAGGGTAAGGGTGACTGGACAGCTGAGCTAGGGTGGGAGAGGTAGTATCATGGGAATCATCAGCGCTCACTTGGAGCAAGGAGGACTGGTGGGCTCAGGAGGCTGGTAACCTCTCTGAGGATTGAGTGTTCTCCCAACCCTTGGAGGCCCTGGTCTCAGTGTCAAGGGAAAATCCTATGGGATGTCATTGCCAGACAAGGGCTGGGCTCCAGATCTGCCCACCTAGGCATCACTGTGCAGGGCAGAGACTACAAACACCCCTCTTCACCTGCAGCTGTGTTAGGGGCAGGCCGGAACAGGGGTTGGAAAGGGAGAAAAGACTAGGGCAGCAGCATCTCTTCCCCCTGGCAACAGCAGGTCCTTCCAGGAGCAACAGTTTTTACATACCTCCCAGAAACAGGCTCACTGGGCCCCTTGGAGACACCCACACCAGTGCCCCCTCCTCAGGAGTCTCCTAGGCCTTTGGGGCACCCTCCTGAGAACAGAGACCTCCAGACCAGCTGAACAGTACCCCCTCAGGCCCAGAGGGCTTTCCTGCCAGCTAAGAGACCCCAGGACCGGCTCAGCAGTGCCCCCTTCTCAGGGGACTGAGTTTCAGCTCCATGGGAAACTCACTGGAGCTTGTAAGTTGCAATGCTTCCCTTTGTTCCTCTAGGCCTAAGGGTCTAGCTGCTTCCGGCAGGAACTTTCCCATTTCTAAGCTAGATTGACTTAACCTTCTCAGTCCCCCATTAGTCACCTAACACCTAGTTAGCTGTGCTCTGTCTCTTGACCCTGATTGATCAGGCATGGCACCATGCTACACACATATGGACTCCTGGTAGATGCTCACAGAGAACATTCCTCTCTGGGTTTGGGAAACCGAGGTCCATTGCCCAGGGAGAGCTGAGGCTGGACTGCCCAGGGCAGTTCTGCCCCACCTGCTGCTGGTCTATTCCCTCAGTGTAAACCGGAAGCTTGGTATAGCGGCGGTCCCACACGCGGGGTAGGCGATGCTAGGAGCCACCTCTGTCAGGGTGAAGAGGGGTGTTGTGGAGGGGAACTCGCACAGGAACCATGTGGTTGCAGAGGGAGCACACCAGCCCAGCACTGTGGGGGTTGGAGGGTGAGGAGTGAAGGACGCACAGGTGGGGAGGCACTGAGTGGGTGGAGACCCAGTTTCCATCTACTGTTTATTGGACACCTACAGTGGCCAAGCCCTGGGCGGACCTGCTTATACTTATGTAATCGCCAGCCTCACAACAACCAGGTGAGGTAGGTGTTCTGACCAGGGCGGAGACTGCGTCCCGACTGGAGCTACTCGGCGCTGTGGATGCGCTGGTGCTGAATGAGCTTGGTGCTCTGGTGGAAGCGGCGGCCACAGTCCTGGCAGGCGAAGGGCTTCTCTCGTCGGTGGGTGCGCAGATGCTGCGTGAGTGTGGGCCGCTGGCGGAAGGCCTTGCCACACTCAGGGCATGCATAGGGCCGTTCGCCCGTGTGGATGCGCCGGTGTTGGGTGAGGTTGGCGTGCTGCCGAAAGCTCTGGCCGCACTCGGGGCAGGCGAAGGGCCGTTCGCCCGTGTGGATGCGCTGGTGCTCTGTGAGCCGCGAGACCTGCGTGAAGCCCAGGCCGCACTCGCCGCAGTGGTAGGGCTTCTCGCCCGTGTGTGTCCTCTGATGACGCGTGAGCTTGAGGCGCTGGCTGAAGCGCTGGCCACACTCGGGGCAGGCAAAGGGTTTCTCGCCTGTGTGTACACGGAGGTGCTGCGTGAGCGTGGGCCGCTGGCGGAAGGCCTTGCCACACTCGGCGCAGGCGAAGGGTCGCTCCCCGGTGTGGATGCGCCTGTGCTGCGTGAGGTTGGAGCGCTGCCGGAAGCTCTGGCCGCACTCGGCACAGGCGAACGGCCGCTCGCCACTGTGCACGCGCCGGTGCTGCAGCAGCACTGAGCGGCGGCCGAAGCGCTCGCCGCACTCGACGCAGCCGAAGGACTTATCGCCCGTGTGTACTGCCTGGTGCTCCAGTAGCACGGAGCGCCGCGCGAAGCTCTCGCGGCACTCGCTGCACGGAAAGGGGCCGGGAGGCTCGGGCGCACCAGGAGGGGCCGAGGGCGTAGCGCCAGGGCCCGGAGGATCGCCGTGGATCCGCTGGTGCTGCAGCAAGTTGGAGCGCTGCCGGAAGCTCTGGCCGCACTCAGCGCAACGGAAAGGCTGTTCGCCCGTGTGCACTCTCCGATGCTCTTCCAGGCGCGCGCTGCGCACGAACCCCTGGCCACAGTCGCCGCACACGAACGGCCGCTCCTCGGTGTGCGTAAGCTGGTGGCGCAGCAGGTGCGAGCTGCGGCTGAAGCTGCGGCCGCACTCGCTGCACACGAATGGTCGCTCACCCGTGTGGATCTTCTGGTGCCTCAGCAGGTTGCTGCGTTGGCTGAACACCTTACCACACACGTCGCAACGGCCGCCCCTAACCACCCCACCCCCAGTGCTGGGGCGGCCCCGGCTCCGGCCCCTGGGGGAGCGCCAGCGGGTGGTGACCAGGGCAGGGCCCACACCACGGCAGGGATCCTCCTCCGTGGGGTCCTGCTCACTCCTCAGATCGCTGGGGAGCACAAGCCCATGCGCAAAGCCACCTTCGCGGGAGGGTGATTGGATCTGGCCCGAAAGGCCAGCCATGCCAAGGTCCCAGGGGACGTGGAGGTGAGGGCTTACACTACCTGGACCTGCGGAGACGCTGTTCAGCTGCAGCGCAAACCCTGTGTGCACAAGGGGACCATTCATTCATGACAAAATGCCCACCGTGCCCGGACCCACGTCAGCCCTGGGGACACAGTGTGAACTACAGGGACCTGAAACTGACCAATGAGGCAGACGGAGGTGACAAAGGCAGGGGTAGGGATTCCATCTGTAGCCTTCCCTGATGAGGTGATAATGAGACAGAACCCAGTGCAAGGAGGAAGACTGGGCTTTGTGAAAAAGCTTTCCAGGTCTGATTTAAGTTGGAAAAAATCATTTTTGGAAGGGCTGTAGGGCAAGCGTGGGGGCACTGTCTAGGTGGAAAATGATGGTCTCTGCAAATGCAGGGAAGTGAGTGGGTCTCGAAGGCTGGAGGTAGAGCCAACAACAGTAAGAGGGTGCGGGCTCCTGGATGGTGGTCTAGGGTTTGGATGTGCCTTGCTTGTGATGTCTGTGGGGGCATCTGAGGAACACAGATTTCGTGCAGGCTGTGGGGAAACCTGAGCAAGGGCTCTGGGGCATACACATGGCACACAGAACCCAGGGCCTGCTAGTGATCAACACAGGGGTGGGTGTCTACAGAGGAAAGAAGTCGGTCCCAGCCACACTGTGAGCACTCTAGCGTCTGATGCTGGTAGAAGGACGAGGTATCAGCAACTGCAACTGAGAATCAGGGCCTGGAGAGGGTGGAAAACCTGGAGGAGGTTAAATTAAGAAGACTGAGAGAGCAGTGAGGGCTTTTAGTGGGTGAGAGAAAATCCATAAGCCGCCAAAGAAAAGTCAGATAATTAGAATACATCAAAGGAAATCAGCAAAAACCATATCAGAGTCAAAAGACAAATGGCTAAAAAATAAAAAAAATTAAATTAAAAAAAGGGCAAATGGCAAACTAATAAACTCTCCACAGGCAAAGGGCTAACTAACCTCCTGAGTAAACAGCTACAATAAATCAATAAGAAAGATCAATAACCTCATAGACACACGGGCAAAGGATGTGAACAAGACAGGAAATGTAAGTAATGCTTATATCCCATAAAATATACTCCATCTTCTCCTAGTAAGAAAAATGCACCCTAGGGCTGAAATCATCTGCCATTTCCACACCCTGACTGCAGGGACCCAAGTGTTCCTATGTATTGCTGGTGAGCATAAATGGGAAGACAGTGTGGCAAAATCCATCAGAACAGCAAATATCCCACACTTTGATCAAGTAATTCCATTTTTAGGTACTTCTTCAACAGTTGTGCTCCTCCTTGTACTAAAGATTACAGGTGTGAGTCACTGCGCCCAGCCCATGTATGTTTTATAGAAGAGGAATGGGGCTGGGCGCGGTGGCTTACACCTGTAATCCCAGCACTTTGGGAGGCGGAGGCGGGCGGATCACGAGGTCAGGAGATGGAAACCATCCTGGCTGACACGTGAAATCCCGTCTCTACTAAAAATACAAAAAATTAGCTGGGTGGCTGGCGCCTGTAGTCCCAGCTACACGGGAGGCTGAGGCGGGAGAATGGCGTGAACCCGGGAGGCGGAGCTTGCAGTGGGCCCAGATGGCGCCACTGCACTCCAGCCTGGGCGACAGAGGGAGACTCAAAAAAAAAAAAAAAAAAAAAGAAGAGGAATGGGCCAGGCGCAGTGGCTCATGCCTGTGATCCCAGCACTTTGGGAGGCCAAGGTGGGTGGATCGCCTGAGGTCGGGAGTTCGAGACCAGCCTGACCAACATGGAGAAACCCCGTCTCTATTGAAAAAAATACAAAAGTAGCCAGGTGTGGTGGTGCATGACTGTAATCCCAGCTACTTGGGAGGCTAAGGCAGGAGAATTGCTTGAACTGGGAGGCAGAGGTTGCGGTGAGCCGAGATTGTGCCACTGCACTCCAGCCTGGGCAGCAAGAGCGAAACTCCATCTTAAAAAAAAGGAATGAATCTGTGTCTGTAAATGTCTTTGCTTCTGTATGCACAGAATCTTTTTAGAAAGACACATAAGAAACAAGCAATGTTGGCTGCTGGAGAGTAGGACTGTGTGGCACAGGCAAGGAAGGGGCATTCCACTGTATACTGTCTTGTGCCTTTTGAAATCCTAACATATGAATGTATTAGCTATTCAGAATGTTCTGAAGACGACATAAAAAAGACCTCTCTGAGCCAGGTGTGGTGGCTTAAACCTGTAATCGCAGCTACTTGGAAAGCTGAAGCAGGAGGATCACTTGAGCTCAGGAGTTTGAGAACAGCCTGGGCAAAATAGCAAAACCCCGTTTCTTTAAATAAAGCAAGACTCCATTTCATAAATAAATAGATAAACCTCTCTTGCTGCAAAGAAAAGGCACAGTTTTATTCCCAAGATTCCTTTTCTTTTTTTGAGACTGGGTCTCACCCCCATTGCCCAGACTGGTGTGCAGTGGCACGATCTCAGTTCACTGCAGCCTTGACTTCCCTGGCTTGGGTGATTCTTCCACCTCAGCCTCCCAAGTAGCTGGGGCTACAGGTACGCGCCACCATGCCAAGCTAGTTTTTTGTATTATTTTTTAGTAGAGATGGGGTTTTGCCATGTTGCCCAGGATGGTCTTGAACTCTTGGACTCAAACAATCCACCTGCCTCGGCCTCCCAAAGTGCTGGGAGTACAGGCATGAGAGACTGCACCTGGCTAAGAAGATTCTACAAACTCAGGAGTTGGAGGCACCTGGTACCTCTGGCCATGTAGGTGAATGCGCAGGGCACCAGCCAGGCTGGAGAGGCTGTTTCAGAAGCAGATGCTGGGCAGGGCTGCTGCTGTGGGCTCTGTCCGCACAGAATTCTGAGCCAACAGTATGTACTGCCATGATTGACTTCTGGATTTCTTCTCCCATCCTGGCAGAAGGCTATGTTAAGGGTGAGAAACCATACTGAGAAAGTCAGGGTTGTTAGGTAAACAGTCCCATTGGACGCTGAGATGTCAATCTCTCTCCCAAGGATGCTGACAGGAGGCTGAAGGTACCTTCCTGTAGGATTCAGACGATGGAATGAAACATGCTTACAGTGGAGAGTGCCCCCAAACTGGCCTAGCCACATTGCCCTATGGGTCTGTTTGCAGTATGCACTCATACTCAAGCTGTTTGCTCACATTCCCTAAGAAAAGGGTCTCCTTGGGGAGTTGGGTTCCCCCATGTCCCTTCTAGCCAGTAATCCCCACATCTACCTGCTCAGAGCTGTCAGCCAGATTTGTGGTGCCCCTCTCTTGCATATAAGCCAACAACTAGGAAAGAATAGAGACCACACTGTTTTTTAAAAAAGTTACTGCTGTTCTCAGAGAAATAAGGATACACATTACAAGTGAAAGAACAGGAGGCAGCTAAAAAGATGAACATTCAGAGAATGAAAACACTCTTGGAAATTAAAAGTATGCTAGAAGAGGCCAGATGAAGTAGCTCATGCCTGTAATCCCAGCACTCTGGGAGGCTGAGGTGAGACAATCACTTGAGGCCAGGAATTTAAGACCAGCCCTGGAAACATAGTGAGAACCTGTTTCTACAAAAAAATTAAAAAATTAAAAATGAGGCAAGTACAGTGACACATGCCTGCAGTCCCAGCTACTTGGGAGGCTGAGGCAAGAGGATCACTTGAACCCAGGAGTTCGAGGTTACGGTGAGTTATGATGGCACCACTGTGCTCTAGTCTGTGTGAAAGAGTAGACCCTAAAAAAAAAAAAAAAAGGCTACCAGAAATGAAAATGTTAAGGTCTGAAAGATACAAGTGAGGAAATTTCCTGGGAAATAGAGTAGAAAGACGAAGGAATGGAAAATTGGAGTGAAAAGAACATAAAAGGATTAATCCTAGAGGCCAACACCAAGTAACAGGCATCCCAGAAACAGGGAACAGGGCAATAGAATGGAAGGAAATAAACATTTCAAGGCAGTTTCTCAGAACTGAGAGATGTGAATTTCAAACTGAAAAGGCTCACCGACAATAGTAATCAAAAAGGTTTGTGACTGTATTAATAAAAAGAATTCTTCCAGCCAAACTTCAATCTAATGTTGAGGGTTAGACGATGTGTTTCAGATATGGGACATCTCAGAATTTTATCTCCCACACCAGAACACCCAGAAAGCTCCACCAAAACAAAGGTGTGAACTAACAAAGAGGAGACCCTGGGTCTCAGGAACAGGAAGGAACAGAACAGAAGATGGGCTGTGGGGGAACCTGGATGATGCCAGACAAAGGTGGTGGCTAAGAGGTAGATGGCAGGGGGCCTCTGGCCTGTAATGCCCGCATGATTGGGCAGGATTCCTATCCTGTGTCAAGGTCCCTCCTGCCCACCTGCTCTGTCTACTAACCTGCTGTCCTTGTCAGGTCCCAACCCTACCTGTCCTGATGCCTGATCAGCAGGATGCAAGCCCAGGAGGCCATCCAAGATACCAGGACTGGGAGAGAATATGGGTACGGGGAATACAGGCCCTACTTGCAAAAGATTTTACTGGGGTGGGGAGTTTCTAGAAAGTAGAGGGACTGTGCGATCAGTGGTAGTGGTGGGTGGCTTTTTTTGAGGACAGAAGATGCTAGAGGAGGTTGAACCTTACATGGGATGATCTAGGGAACGGGGAAACTTGGAGATACTGGAGTGAGAGGGCTGCCTGCATAGGGCGAGGAGTGGGGTCAGCGGAGATCGTGCTGTCCATGCAGAGGGCCTAGTCCCACCACACCCCATCTCACTTACCTGGGGAGAAGATGTCCCCAGCTTCCTCATGCCACAGGGCCCTGGGGTGCTCCCTCCATGGGGGACCCTCAGGCCCAGTGTTACTGTGGGGAAAGTCCTGGTCCAGCACTGTCCCACATCCCTGAAATCACAGTGGTCACTGCTCATCTGTGCCTGGCTGGGCTCAGGGAGCAACCCCCGGGGAAAGGAGGAGAACATGGACCTGGGCAGGACTTACCTGGGCCTCCTCAGGCAGGAGGGTGGGTACAGACTCCTGGGTGGCAGCTAGAGGCCCAGACTCCAGGAAATCTAGAGAGGAAAACTGAGATCAGGCAGCCTGAGCGAGTTTCCACCCCACTGCCCTTCTTAGTGGTGTGCCAGGTGCTGGGATGCAGAGAGGTGGGATTCCTGGTTGTGGGCTTGGGTTGGGGAGGGCAGTGCAGGGTAGCTGAGGGCCCAGCTTAGGGGCTGGGTGAAGCAGAGTACCCTGGAAGGCCAGGGGTTGAGCTGCAGTGGGATGAGATGGGCTTAGGTCTGTGCCCCTGTAGCCTTACGTGAACCATGCGGCAAGATGGTCAGCGGGGATCAGAGGTATTGTACAGGGGTCCACACAGGAATGGCAGGGTGTGAGCAGCTAGTTCAGGTGCCCTGCCTGGGAGGTGAAAGGGGTCATACCCCCAACACTACGAGGTCATCCCTCAGCAGCTCCTAATTATACCAAGGCCTGCTGTCTGTTCCCCAGTGAAAAGCAGATATTGCCTAACGGATCTCCTTGGGGACTGAACACCACATGCCATCAGTGCTGGGAAACCCCAACAGCCTGCTGCATGCCAGGGGGTTCATGGGTACAGGGCTGTGGCAGTCAGGCTTGGTTTGTGAGGGGTGGTGACAGTGCTGGCTGCAGTGGAGGGGAGACATTACTGGGTGGAATGTGGAGGCTACTGGCACATGGAAACCATTCCATTTATGACAAACCTGGCCCAGTGGACTTCAGACTGACTGCTCAGGCCAGGCTCCCTGGCCCACCCAACCAGACCTTAGGTGCTGCCCACACTGCATGCTCTCACCTGAGTCCTCTGTAACCTCTGGTTCCTCTTTCACCTGCAGGCCCAGTGGTGCTTCCTGCATAGTCCTAGGAGGTGTCTTGGGCACAGGCTCTGGAGTTGGAGGCTCAGTTTGAGGTAGGGGCTGGAAACTGGAGGGCTCCATCTTCTCTGATAGGACCTCCTGGCCCTGCACCTGGACTGTGACCTGGGGAGGTGCCCTCACCATCAGAGGTCCTACCAGAGAGTAAGGCTGGCCGCAAATCTCACTGTAGGATCCCAGGGGCCCGCCTTGTAAATACCTACTGACTAGGTCCTCCAAGGACCCACCTCCCCTAGTCCCTGAGCAAAGAACGAAGGGACCACCTGCAGTCCCTCCCCTGCTGTGACACTCAGAGCCTTGCAGTACTTTCCCCATATCCCCCCAGCCTGCAGCTCCTATGTCCATGTGACTGCAGGTGATGCAGGAATGGGCTGCAGAGTCTGGCCCTGGAATCCCTTTGCCCTGGGCAGCCTTGCACAGGGTCTCTGTTGCAGGTGGCCACTTCTGTACCACAAGGGAGAATGTGTGTCTGGCAAAGCATGGTGCTACCCAGGGTGAGGCAGAGCTGGATGATGCTCCAGTCCTGAACCCCATTCATGGTCACTCACTCACCCATCTCCGGGGTTCGCCCGGCTCCCGGCGCAGCCCATCTACTAGGGCAGCAGCCTCCTCGGGGCTGCCTGGCCGCTGCCCCTGCATACGGGCCTGGATCTCAGGGGGCAGTGCGCCCAGGAACTGCTCCAGCACCAACAGCTCCAGCATTTGCTCCTTGGAGCGTACCTCTGGACGCAGCCACTGGCGACACAGCTCTCGGAGCTGGGCCAGGGCCTCTTGGGGCCCTGTGGCCTCCTCATAGCGGAAGCACCGGAAACGCAGGCGTGCAGCTTCAGGGCCTGGGTCCCATAGGGCAGCCTCACCCTCCTCCTCAGAGTCCTCTAGCTTCACCATGACAGGCCCCTCCTCTTCTGGGGGTGCTCGGTCTGGGGAGCCCAGCACCGCAGGCCTCATAGAGGGTACCAGGTCAGGTATCTGAGGCCAGTGTCTGCCCCTGGTGAAGAAATAGGATGAGGCTGTTGCAACAGGAGTAGACAGTGAATGCTTCACTACCTAGTCTATCCTGTACTGTTTGATCCTCAGACCTACCCCATGTGGAAGACAGATGAGGAAAGAAGCAAAGAAAGGCCATTCACACCCCACAGACTTACGCAGCTGGAAGCCCTCCCTTAGCCACCTGTATCCCTGGTCTTCTCTCCACTTGGGCCTGTGCAAAGTCTCTGATAGTCTCCCTGCTCCAAACACAGGCTTTTTTTTTTTTTTTTTCCTTTGTGACAGGGTGTCACTCTGTGGCCCAGGCTGAAGTGCTGTGGTGAGATCATGCGTCACTGCAGCCTTGACCTCCCAGGCTCCAGAGATCATCCCACCTCAGCCTCCCAAGTAGCTGAGACAACAGGTGTGTGCCACGACATCCGGCTAATTTCTTAATTTTTCTGTAGGGATGGGATCTTACTATGTTGGCCAGGCTGTTCTTGAACTCCTGGGCTCAAGCAGATGATCCTCTTGCCCTGACCTCCCAAAGTGCTGGGCCTTACAGGTTTGTTCCACCATGCTTGCCCACAGGCTGTTTTTTAGGTCTAGAAGACACTTCTCTCCCCTGTATCCTTCCCTTCTTCTACATGTGCAACCTCATTCCTGCGCTGCAGCTCTCTCTTTTACCAGGTGGATGGCATCTATACACCTACAGCCTGGGCATCAGCATCACTGATGGCATCTCCCCCCACCCAACACCAGCCCTCACTTCACCTTCTACTCTCTCATTTACTTAGATTTGGCTCCTCACTTGGGCCTCACCATCATTCCCCTCCCAGCCTGGAAGCCTCGCTCCACTTAATCCTTCATGTCAACCTGTGCAGTCACCTGTATGGCTCAGCCCCAAGGCAGCACCCTCTCTCCCTACTCAGTCTCATCTTCTGAGCCCAACATCACACTACACAATGCCCCATCTCAGCTTCATGATTTAGGTGGGGTTGGAAGAGGATGGGGGAGCTTCGCAAGGGGTGGGGGTGGGGGTCGGCAAAGGCTCCAAGACCGCTGGAATAGGAGCCTCCAAGGAAGTCCCGAGATTCTGATTCCGCCCATCTTCAGGTCACTGTGCCTTTGAGAACTTGTTTCCGCATCTGCAAGTGGGGCTGACCTCCCTCCTGGCGCTGTTCCTTCTGCAGCTGCGGCTTTGTGAAGGAATCTGCGTTTATGAAGGGGATGGCGCCGCAGAATCATCCCCCTGTGGGTGGCATTGATTTCGAGGGTCGCCTGATCCTGGGGGCCAAGCCTCCACTCTTCAAGGTGCCAAGTCAACCTGAAACCCTGGGAGAAACTTGGGTCATAGCCAAGATGGTAGGTACCTACGGAGGGTTCCGAAATACACTTCCCAGAAGTCCAGGCGGCAACTTCCGCTCCAGCGTGCCAAGGTAGGTCGTGAAGACGCCTAGGCAGCCGGGGGCGGGGCTCCCAAAGCCTGTCGTCGTGGCAACCAGTAGTGATTGACAAGCCTCTCGCTCTAGCCCTGGGCGCTCCCGTAAGGACTGCCCGGATTCCTTCCCTGCGCTCCCGGTCTCGCTGGGCAGCCGGAATCCCTGAGTCTGCAGCCACCACCCCGGTCCCCACCCTAGCCCTCCCGGTTAAGAGGATCCCCGCCCTCACCTCGGCGCTCAGCGAGCCGCTCCGCGCTCCTGAGCACGCGCAGTCTTCGACTTCCCCACCCGCTGGACTACGTCTCCCAGGATACTCCGCGCACCAGCTCGAGCGCCTCCTTGCCCTTCCCCTACTCTCGCCTCGGTTTCTACACCCTCTCCTCCCGTCCCCTAGCGGTGGTCGCAATCATCAGGTCACGCTCCTGGCCGCTTCTTCCCATGCTCCCCGCCTCGAATCCGTGCGTCGACATGCGCAAGCCTCTCGGGGAAAACAGACTGCAGTACCGCCTTCCAGATCGCGCATGCCCCCCACCACATTTTCCTCAATTCTCTACGGGCCTTCCTGAGATTAGCAGGGTCCTGCACCAATCACGGCCGTCATTGGAACGCCGTTGGCGCCCCACCGCGTCTCCATGGCAACTCCCTGCAGGAAGGGGCCTCTGCTACTTCCTAGGCGGCAAAATGGAGAAAGGCTTGGCCCGATGCTTTCCGGGAGATGTAGTCGGCAGGGTCCCTCGTGTGCACGTGCGTGCGCGGCGCGATTACGTTCCTCTGTGATCATGGGCGAGGGGCGGGCCCTGAACGTCTCCATGGTAACCTGGGGACCCGACCCGACATCGCCTGGGCAAGCCGGAGACGTGGCGGGCGTTGGAAATGCAATGGGACTTGTGGGATGAGGAGGTGGGGAGGGGTACTGGGTCAGAGAGATGCCGATCGATAGAAACAGCGAGGAAAGACAGAGACAGAGAGACCAGAGACTCAAGGGCAAGGAGAGACGAAGGACAGGCGGGAGGAAGAGAGACAGAGACAGACCCACAGACTGGGAGTGCCGGAGACTCGACGCGAGGAGAGAGTGAAAATAGTGAACAAACATAGAAACACGGGTCCAAGTTATAAGAGGGCTGAGTGGATCAGAGGGTTAGGACCGGGCAAACTGGTGTCAGAACAGTTAGCAAGAGAGAGGCAGATCAGAAAGGGATGCAGATGAAAGACACACAAAGAAACGCAGAATGGGTTCACAGAGACAAGAAATGCAGATATCCAGACTCACGAGGCAGACAAGAAGGGAGAGGGACAGAGACAAGAAGGGAGAAAAGGGATAGATATTAGAGATACAGTAAGATGGACTGACAGTTTTCAAAGACCTAGAGAAAGATGACAGCACCAAGAGAGGGAGAATCAGAAGTAGAACTGTTAGGAAAACTTAGGAGTCCAGATGCTGTCCAGTTAGATGCTACCTTGTAAAGGCTGATAGATTGCAAATGCTTTCTGCCCATTGTATCGCTTTATAGCCCACTAAGCAGTTTTGTGTCCGACTTCGTGCTTTTATTTCTTTTTTTTTTGTTTTGTTTTTTGACGGAGCCTCGCTGTCGCCAGATCTCGGCTTACTGCAACTCCACCTCCCGGGGTCAAGTGATTCTCCTGCCTCAGCCTCCCGAGTAGCTGGGACTACGGGCGCGCACCACTACACCCAGCTAATTTTTTATTTTTAGTAGAGACGGGATGGCATCATGTTGGCCAGGATGGTCTCGATCTCTTGACCTCGTAATCCGCCCGCCTCGGCCTCCCAAAGTGCTGGGATTACAGGAGTGAGCCACCGCGCCCCACCGACTTTCTTTCTTTGTTTTTTTTTTTGGCAGTCTCACTCTGTCGCCCAGGCTGGAGTGCAGTGGTGCAATCTCGGCTCACTGCAACCTCCCTCTCCCAGGTTCCAGCGATTCTCCTGCCTCAGCCTCCCGAGTAGCTGGGACTACAGGCTGCTCCACCACACCCGGCTGATTTTTGTACTTTTAGTAGAGATGGGGTTTTACCATGTTGGCCAGACTGGTCTAGAACTCCAGACCTCGGGTGATCCGCCTGCCTCGGCCTCCCAAATTGCTGGAATTACAGGTGTGAGCCACCGCGGCCGGCCAGTGTTCATTCTTTCTTTCCTATCTTCCTAGAATCATCTTGCTGGTTCCCTCAGTACGATAAATAAATCTTTGACACATGCTCACTGAGAGTCATGTTTTTAACCGTTTTGAAATTATGTTTGGCAGTCTGAAGGGAACCTGTTCTCCGGGCTAGGGGACAAACAGGGAAAAAGAAAATAGTGACACATACCCAGGAAAGGGAGGAAGGGAAGGTGATGTAAGACAAAGACATTAGGCGGCGAGAAAGTCAGCCTTTGGTCCGAAACAGTTTCTGGCGCCCCTGCCTGGACTCCGTACGGTGCAGCCTCGTTGCCAAACTACGTTTTCCGGCAGGCCCCGGGGCGCCGGGCGCCGAGCCGAGAGCGACGCAAGGGGCGGGCCTGACGCAGCCTCCTGGGTGCCCGGCCGTCGCCAGGCAACCTTCCCCCTTCGCGGCCGAGACTGAGCCTGGGCTCGGCCTCCTCCGGGAAACTGCGCTGAACTGCGCTGTGAGGCGGGGCGATGGAGAAGGGCCGAAGCCCCCCAGGCCCAGCTAAAGCAGACGGCTCGCACTGCGACCCGAAGGTGAGGGTGATCGGCCGCGCTGGGGCCCGGCTTCGGGGGCAGGAGTTGCGGCCCTTCCGCTTGGTTCGGTCCGGGAACTGGGATATGAGGCCACTGCGTGCACAGCTGGCACGCACCCGAGTGGGTCAGTGGGAGCCATCGTTGGCCCCGCGGTTCTCTGGGAAATGTAGACCCGCTAGGCGGGACGGTACCCGCCTCAGGCCATACTGCGCAGGTGCTGATCTGAGTCTGGGTCCCTCCTGGGTCGAGGAGTTCTTTGACCCAGATCTTCGTGGAGGCGTGTTCGCCCGGCCCTAAGGTCCCTTGCGGGCCTCCTCGGCCTTACAGCGCTTGTCCGCTGTTCGTACCCCTTCCCTCCTCTGTCTTGGAAATGTAGTCTCGAGGGAGGAGCTTGGTCATCCACCCAGACTTCGTGAGGCCCCCGAGCTTGGGGCTGCCTGTTGAGAGTGGGAGGGAGAGAGTGAGTGAATGTGTGGGTGAATTAATTTACAATTATGGGAGAGCAGGCAAAGGTATGAATGTGGGAGAGAGAAGGATGGGCCCAAGAGTGGTTCAGATTTCGGTGCTTTCCCCAGGCTTGAACCTTCCCCAGTCCACCCGCCTTTCCCTGTCTCCCTAGCTGAAGGCCCTGTGGGCTGTGCCTCCTTGTTTCAAGGCAGGTGCGTGGTCCATGGAGGTACTCATCATAGGTGTAGTCACTCCACAAACAGAACGGTCAGGCCGCATTTGTTCATGTTTTTTTTTTTTTTCTTCCTTCCTTCTTTCCTTCCTTCCCTCCCTCCCTCCCTCCCTCCTTTCCTTCCTTTCTTCTCTCTCTTTTTTTTTTTTTTTTGAGACGGAGTCTTGCTCTGTCGCCCAGGCTGGAGTGCAGTGGCGCGATCTCGGCTCACTGCAACGTCCGCCTCCCGGATTCAACCAGTTCTCCGGTGTCAGCCCCCCAAGTAGCTGGGATTACAGGCACACGCCACTATGCCGGGCTAACTTTTTTTTTTTTTTTTTTTTTTGAGACTGAGTCTTGCTCTTGTCACCCAGGCTGGAGTGCAATGGCAGGATCTTGGCTCACTGCAACCTCTGCCTCGCCTCCCTGGTTCAAGCTATTCTCCTGCCTCAGTCTCCCGAGTAGCTGGGATTACAGGCACCCACAACCACGCCCGGCTAATTTTTGTATTTTTAGTAGAGACATGGTTTGGCCATGTTGGCCAGGCTGGTCTCGAACTTCTGACCTCGTGATCTGCTCGCCTCAGCCTCCCAAGTGCTGGGATTACAGGCATGAGCCACCGTGCCTGGCCTGTTTCTGTTTTTCACACGCACAATTTAAAAAAAAAATCTGTTTTGACCAGGTATTACATTCACATGGTTCAAAATGTAAAAGAGATAAGGTGAGACAGACACACAATAAATAAATAAATATGGCGGGGGATGGCCCTCTCTCATAAGGTTGTGTTTGAAAAGAACTGCAGAAGGTGAGGGGAAAAGCCATGCAGATAACAGGGAAGAGCACCTGCTCTGGGCCAAAGGAACAAAAGCCCCTTTGTAGCTGGCACAGTGGCTCACGCCTGTAATCCCAAACTTTGGGAGGCCGAGGCGGGTGGATCACTTGAGGTCAGGAGTTTGAGACCAGCCTGGCCAACATGGTGAAACCCTGTCTCCACTGAAAATACAAAAATCAGCTGGGCATGGTGGCACACACCAGTAGTCCCACCTACTTGGGAAGCTGAGGCAGGAGAATTGCTTGAACCTGGGAGGCAGAAGTTGCAGTGAGCCAAGACTGCGCCATTGCATTCCAGCCTAGGGGGCAGAACAAGACTATCTCAGCCAACAATCAAAACAAAAAAAGCCCCTTTGCTCTGTCTGGAGAATGTGGTCAGGAGTGAGCAGAGTAGAGGAGGAGGCTTTGAGTCTTACAAGGGAACCAGTGAGGACTGTGGCTTTTACTTGAAGGCCTGGGAGGGCTCCAGCAGAGGTCAGGATCTGACTTAGGTTCACTGAATCATTCTTGATCTGGTATGGAGAACCATCATCCCCTTCTATCCTTGGGTACTCCACGGTGGTGGTACCAACTAGGGAAGCTCTCTTCTGTGTTAGTTTCTTTTTTTTTCTTTTTTTTTTGAGATGGAGTCTCGCTCTGTCGCCCAGGCTGGAGTGCAGTGGCCGGATCTCAGCTCACAGCAAGCTCCGCCTCCCGGGTTCACGCCATTCTCCCGCCTCAGCCTCCCGAGTAACTGGGACTACAGGCACCCGCCACCTCGCCCGGCTAGTTTTTTTGTATTTTTTAGAAGAGACGGGGTTTCACCATGTTAGCCAGGATGGTCTCGATCTCCTGACCTCGTGATCCACCCATCTCGGCCTCCCAAAGTGCTGGGATTACAGGCTTGAGCCACCGCGCCCGGCCTGTGTTAGTTTCTTATTACTGTTGTAATATTACTGCGAACTTAGTGGTATGAAACAACATAAACTTATTATCTTAGAGTCCTAAAGGTCAGAGTCTGAATTCGGTTTTACTAGGCTAAAATCAAGGTATCAGCAAGGCTGGTTTCTTTTGGAAGTTCTGGGTTTCAGTGATCACACAGCCTTCTCCTAAGTCAAATCTTCCTCTGCCTTTTTTTTTCTTTTCTTTTTTTTTTCAAGATGGAGTCTTGCTCTGTCCCCGAGGCTGGAGTGCAGTGGCATGATCTTGGCTCACTGCAACCTCTGTCTCCCGACTTCAAGCGATTCTCCTGCCTCAGCCTCCCGAGTAGCTGGGATTAGAGGCGCGTGCCACCACGCCTGGCTAATTTTTGTAATTTTAGTAGAGATGGGGTTTCACCATGTTGGTCAGGCTGGTCTCGAACTCCTGACCTCATGATCTGCCCGCCTCAGCCTCCCAAAGTGCTGGGATTACAGGTGTGAGCCACCACGCCTGACCCCTCTGCCTCCTCTTATAAGTACCCCTGTGATTATATTTCGGGGCCACTGGAATAACTCAGGATAATCTCCTTATCTTGAGATTAATTTACAAAGTTCCTTTTGCCATGTAAGGTAATTTACTCCTCGTTTCCTGGGATTATGATATGGACATGTTTAGGTGACCTTATTCAGCTTCCCACACTGCCATTTGCTGTCTCCAAGTGAGAAGTGTGGAGATGGGTAGTTCACCTCATCCTGCCTGGGAGGTGGCTCAGGATCTTTTGATTCTCTTGGCTTCCTCTTGTGGTTTTAAGAGATTCCTGTGGAGCCCTAAGGAGTTAAGAGAACATGGA